GCGGCGGGAGTGGGAGGCCACCCCCCCTGCCTGGCGTCGCCCGCGGTACCTCGCGCAGCTGACGATGGAGGAGAAATTTCAACAGGCGGTGGGAAAAGACGCCCCTTTGGACGACGCCACGCCGTCGATGCGAGGGGTGGAATCGAAAATCGGGCGTTCCTACGCGAACTACCGCCGCCTTCATGCCCCTGCGCGAGGGGGGAAACACGCGTTGTAGACTTCATCGAGAGAGCACCCTCCAGAAGCCCCTCGGGGAGGGGAGTTCGACGGGTGAGAATATGTGCTCTAGCGAGTTGGTTATCGGGGGTTTTAGACATCTACGCGAGAAAGAGCGCAATTGGGGCGGAAAGCCCGAATTACCAGTTCGAGAGAGAGATGGAGACTTTTTCTAGATCCCCCCTCGTTTAGTCTCGGGTAGGAGCCTTTAGGGGGCAGTCATTTCTTTGTTTATGCGTGTGTGTTGGATTTAATGGATGGGCTGTACGGTTAGCTTTCCCTGTTTTGTTGAGCTCAACATCGGTTTGATCTACTCATTTTGTTTTCTACAGTTCGTGTGCAACTACGGTATGCACTGAACGATAGTTAGATCTAAGCATGCTTACAGCGATTTTCATATCAACTTCCGATTGGTGTCTTTTGTGATGAAACGCTTTAGTGTGTGTGTGAGTGTGTGGAAAGTGTATATGATTATTTTCTTCCTGATGATTGCGGTGATTACGCAAATCAGTTTAAAGAATAAATAAGTAATTTTTACAAAAAATATATAATGATGACTTCGTAATATGTGACTACCGTGAAATTTGATAAAAACTTTTCATCTTGTAGTATCTACCCACATTAGTAATCAGGTATAGTTTCAACCACATCTTCACAAGGGGATTTAAACTCAAAAAGCTACTTAAAAACACTCTGAAAAGCAAGATATGCGCTGTTGGCAGTTTGCTGCGTCGAGGAGGCTGAGCCTGGCAGGATCCAAAGTCGGGAGATTTCCCCCCGCCGCGTTCCCACCTGCGAGCTCCACGCTGCCATCGCGAGGGACCTTCACAACGACCCCCGTAAGCCCTCCTTTACAGGAGGAAATGCGCGCGAAGGGTTTTGTGAACTCCACGCCGAACTTCTCCTGTGATTTTACGGACTCTTCTCCCTCCCCCGAGGCATCTTTCCCTGGTGGGTTTGAAACCACCCCGGCGACGGGCGTTCGCCTCGTGGAGGACCTCCACGGCCCCTGGCTGGTGATGACGGACGACCTGCAAGGGGAGCTTTTTGTCGATCATGACGGCTTCGTTTATTACCGCCCGGCGAACGGGATTGGGTATGGGATCGGCCAAATCAAGCTGCTCGGGGCCGAGGACGAACTCGGTACGGCCTTCACCTGCACCTTAATGGTCTATGCGTACGCCGCGACGGATCGATTCCCCCCGATGTACGGCATCACGCTCCACATCACGGGAATGGTCAACCACGTGACCGCGAAGACGCCTCAGGCCTTCTCGACGTTTTCCCTGATCGGGATTTGGCAGAAGGAGGATCCGAATAACGCGGATTCGAAGGTGGGGGTGGATTCATCCCACGAGTGCGGGGTGGAGGGGGAGGGGAAGGGAGAAGCGATCGCACCAAAGCGCCTCACCGGGCAGTTTAACGCGGCCAAACTCTCGCCGTGGCAGCCGACCGCAAAGGATGTGGCGTGGAAGCCGAACGCGGAGCTCCAGGCCGCGCTGGCAGGGGTCTTCCCGCGGGATCTCGCGCTTTCCCCTCATTTCCGTGGGGGAATTGACCCCTCTTCCTCCACGCCCTCCTCTTCGTCCTCTTCTTCTTCCCGCCCCCCGCCTTTCCCTGCGCCTCCTCGTGTGCTTCCGCATCACGTTGATCTCGCCCCTTATCGCGTTGGTTCGATCCCCTCCATTTTTTACCTCCCCGATTATCTCACTCCCGAAGAGGAGGAGGTGATCCTCGCCAGCGTGCGGGAGACCCCTACCGCGCTCAAAACCACCCTCCCCAAACGCACCGCGCAGGAGTGGGGCGGGGCCCTCTGCGAGGTTTGTCGTGGCGGATTCGTTTCGGAGGGCAATTTCCCCGCGTGGGTGCGGAGTTGTTCGGATCGTTTGCTGCGCGATGGGCTTTTTACTCCGTCGACCTTTCCAAACGCCGTGCGGGTGCACGAATACGCGGCCGGGGAGGGGATCGGACCCCACGTCGACGGGCCGATTTACGTCCCTGTCGTGGCGGTCCTCTCGCTGGGCGGGGCCGCCGCGATGGGGTTCGCGCCGCGCACGCCGCCGCACGAAACCTCGCCGATGGAGCATTACGAGGATACGTTTCGTTTCGCCGACGGCCCGATCGCGCGGCGGGGGCGGGTTCAAACGGTCGTCCTCGAGCCCCGTTCCCTGTTGTTGTTCACAGGCGACGCCTATTTTTTCCACCCCCATGGCGTTTCCGATGCGGCGGTCGACGAGCTCGCGCCCGAGATCGCCGGCGCGGTCGTGAATCGCCACCTCCTTCGTGAACCAGACATCCAACGGGTCGTGCGGGGGTATCGCGTGAGCGTGACGATTCGCAACCTCCTGCCCCGTTGCAATCACCAGCCCGGGCGGGCGGAGTTTGAGATGAAACGCGCGTGGTACCTCTACCACAACCTCCCCCTCCCCACACCGCTTTTCACCGCCTCCCCGTTGATCCGCGAAGCGGGGGGCGCGGGGGAAACCGCGTCGGCCGCGTTGGAGGCCCCGCGAGGGCCGTTGCCGCCCGAAGGGGGGGGGCGGTGGGAGGCCCGAATGGATCGCCTCGCCGCCGAGCAGGCCGCGTTGGCGGCGGAGATGAAGGAGCTGAAGGGGCTTTTGGGGCAATTCGTCGCCGCCGGGCGCAGCTCCCAGGCGGAGACCTCCGGCGTCCTCAACAGCATGACGAAATCGCTCCTGGAGGTGGACGCGAAACTCGACGATTTGATGGATGAATTACAGGCACGAAAGTGATGCCCTTGGAGTTCGCGAGGGGAAAGAAAAAACATCGACACCCAACCAACTCGGTCCTAAATGGAGATAATGAAGGACGTCGTAGTAATGGTTTTGTTTTGTGATCGTAAATAATCATATCCACCAAGAGAAGGGTCTAACGTCAATTACAGGGGTTTGGAAAAGGCGAGAGAGAGCACGGCGGGGAAGGGTGCAAGCGCGTTTCAAAAATACCATCCTGTATATTCACATAATTTACTAAATAAAAAAAGCAAGTGACGTTTTAAAAAAAAGGCTGTGGATGCGAGGAAAGATTCCACCAATTCGTATAAGGCGTTATACCAGCTAAACGCTCAGCTTCTCCTCAGCCAAGGGGGAAAAAATAGAGATGGGCCCATAAAAAATGTGATTGCTGTTAGTTCGCTTCCCATTTAATATTTCCATGCCAAGCGACTTTTCTCTAGTCTACAGCCCAAGGCTTCTCCCTATCACATCAGCAGGGGATGGAATCGATCGAGGAGGAAATCGCTATGGTGCGCAACCTCTTCGGGGAGGACTGCACCCAACGCGAGGGCCACCCTCGGGAGCTGTGGATTCGTCTTCCGTTTAGTTTTGAGCTCGAGATCACGCTTCCGGCGGGGTATTTTGAGGAAAGCCACCCCCATCTTTTCGTCCGATCCGCCCCGAACGCGCCGCTCGCGGGGTCCTTCGCGGCGATCCTCCATCAGCGGATGCGGGAGACGATCCCCCTCGGCACCCCGATGCTCGCGCTCCTCGTCAGCCTCGCGCAGGACCTCGCGCGGGAGCTCGAAGAAGGATACCACGAGGAGCGGGAAAGCCTCGCGGCGCGGGAGAACGACGCCGTAGCGGCTCTTTCGCAGGAAAACGACCGCCGGGAGCGCGAGGCGATCCCGATTTGGTCGGGAACGGTGGTGGTGGATCGTCGATCGCGGTTTGTTGCCCACCTCGCGCCCGTGGGGAGCGTTGAGGAGGTCAAGCAGGTGATCGCCACCCTCCGTGCGGATCGGCACCTCAGCGATGCCGCCCATCCGACGATTTGGGCGTATCGTTTTAAAGACGACCGCGGGGTGCTCCACTCCGATTTTGACGACGACGGGGAGACGGGTGCGGCCGTGAAAATGGCGTTTTTGTTAGATCAGCTCAAGGTCGAAGGGTACGTGGTGGTCGTGACGCGTTGGTTCGGCGGGATCCTGCTTGGGCCCGATCGGTTTAAACACATCATGGGGGTGACGAAGGATATCCTGCTTACGATTCCGGAGCGAGAAAAGTCGAAATCGCAGCCGCAACGGCGGCGAGATTGAGAATGGCGGTTTGATTCGTTGGTTGGTTGGTTGGTATTTTCCTTCTTTTAGATCCCTGCCACCGTGTGCTTGATGTTGAGGGGACTAATCATAACCTTACGTGGTCTCGTTACCAACAACAAGTGTTCGGGTGTGCAGATATAAAATGAAATTAATGCGTTTACTGCTACTTCTCACCTTTAAGGTCTTTTAAGTTTCCCATGAAAGCCTGAGAAAACTTTGGTTATTCGTGAAATAAATCTCGCAAATCTGGATCTCTACTTTTCTTATTATTCACCCACCTTATGTACGTCCCTTTCGCCTTTCGTCCAACCATGTTTGGTGGTTTTAGGGCTTGGCGCGTGAAATGGAAAAGGTGAGAGGGTGTGTATTTGCTTTTTGTTTATAGTACTCCGATGAGAAAGGCCATGTCGATGTACCTTTCCCCCCCCTTAATTTTTTTCTGCTTGCGCGTCATCGTTGGCGCTTCGACCTTTTTTTCACGGTGCCTTTCTATGGTTTAATCTAGTGTTTTTTTTTTTAATTATTCCTATTACACTTTTTACCAGCTATCGAACCCCTATCCATGTCGATCGAGCCCGAAGGACAGACCCAGACCCTGGAGTCGATTGAATACCGCAACGGCTCCCTTCGCCTGTTGGATCAGCGCAAACTCCCGTTAGAAACCGTCTACGTCGAGATCCACACCATCCAGCAGATCTTCGATGCGATCAAAGAGATGCGGGTGCGTGGGGCCCCCGCGATCGCCATCAGCGCCGCCCTCGGCATCGCCGTCGCCGCGGCGGAAAAGCTTTCCGCCGGTGATTTCCACGGCGACGCCGCCACGGCGGTGGATTTCCTGTGCGAAAGCTGCGCGTACCTCCTCACGAGCCGCCCGACGGCGGTGAACCTCGCGAAGTGTCTTTCCCGCATCCGCGACGCACTCCTCGCAGGGGCGCCCGGGTTCGGCGATGACGTCGCGGCCGTCCGCGCGTTCACGACCCACGCCGAGGCGCTTTTCGCCGAGGACGTCGCGATCAACGCGGCGATTTTGCGGAACGGCGCGCGGCACCT